TTATTTCCACTCACAATAATTTATCGCAATATTACGTGCACAAAAGTGAAATTCAAAAAGAGGAGAAAATCAAACACTTCTTGATTGATTTTAAAAGTAGTGTACATGCAAAAAGACTAAATTAATGACTGTTTTAAGTTTTTCTTATTTGTTTGAATTTTGAATACGTTGCAAGCTAATCGGTAGATAATAAATCATTATTTTTATGAATGTTAGTTTGCACGAAATATATAAGCGGGCATAATTATGACTAAACAGGATAATTTAAAAAAACTTTTTATGATGAGTATTTCAGTGGCAGATTCAAAGGGGCCCAGCCGGAACACCATCACTATTTTTTCCCCGAAATTTAAAAGTGGAGAAAAATGAAAATTTCCGACCAACTGGAGGTGCCATAATCATAAATTTTCTTACCTCATTTCATTTCATTTCATTATTTATTTGGTCATTTACAACAACAACAAAAAAAAAACTGAAAATTCGGGGAGACCAGGGACAACCAGAGTGAACCAAATCACTGTAGCAAAGCCGGTTTACCCAACCCCAAATTCAGCGACACATTAAAAAATCAAACATTACAGCGAATCAAAATACAAAGAAACCTTACGAAGAAAAGAGGATGGGCTTTCTAAAACTGCAGCATCGGTTAACAATCTAGGGAGCTGGTCCCAAACACGAGGCAACCTGATGGCTACCGAGTTGAAAAATGCTTGGGTCCTTGATGCTTGGTGACGGAAACACAAGCGATCATTATGTCTGGTATTGATTTTGATACCATCATAAACCGTGCTGCAGCTTAGAAGGCCCATCAGAACTTTAAAGCAAAAAATAATAAGAAATTTGTCCCTTCTGACAGACAAAGAAGAAAAAGAAAGCAAATGTAACCTCTCCTCAAAGCTCATCTGTCCTCGATGTTGTTTAAGAGCAAGACGAGTTGCTCTTCTATGGACTCCCTCAAGCAGATCTGACAAAGTTTTAGTCCATGGAAACCAGGCAGGTTGAGCATACTCCAGGCCTGGCAATACCAGGCTTTTGTAGAGAGACAAAAATGCACTGGTCGAAGCATGTCCAGCCACGCTCCAAACAAAACCAAGCATACGCTTAGCTTTGGAAACAATGGCATGGACATGGTCCTCCCAGGTCAACTTTGAGTTGAAAGTAACACCAAGGTATTTAATGGTGGTCACCGGACTAATAAGAGAGCCAGACAAGAAATAGGAAGACAGTTGTTTATTACGCGAGCGTGTGATATGTAAAACATTTGTCTTCAGAACGTTGAAAGGCATGCGGTTTACTTCACTCCACAGAGTAAGTTGGTCAACTATAAATAAGGGTGTCATCAGCAAAAATAGCAGTTTTACATTTAAGCGAACAAGCAATATCATTAATAAAAAAATTAAAAAGAATGGGACCAAGTACACTGCCTTGCGGTACCCCACTGGTTACCTCCACCCAGTTAGATGAGGATCCCTTAAATTGAACTTTCTGAAAACGTTTAGTCAAAAATGACATTAACCAGTACCAAATATCCCCAGAGATGTTAAATTGCTGGGAAAGCTTATTTAGGAGAATATCATGAGGCATCCGGTCAAAGGCCTTTGAAATATCTAAAAAAATGGCATCAATGAGTGGTGGGGATCTTTGATCCAAAATATAGGACCAGTCATGAATGATAGTTGCAAGTTGCGTAGTACATGATTTTTTAGGTAAAAAACCGTGTTGGTTCTCAATGAGCAAACAATTATCAGTAGCATGCTGCAGAAGTGCTTGTACCACCAGCCTCTCCAGCATTTTACCCACAACAGATGTTAGAGCCACCGGGCGGTAGTTGTTAAAATCTCATCCCCAACCATGGTGGGGCTGAGGTGGTAGTCCAGCTACACTATCTATCTGTAAAATTCCCTCTCTGGGCCCAGCTCTATTTCAAATTACTGGATCCGCCACTGGATATTTTGAAAATTTCGTATGGAAATAAATGTTAATTGCATTGCTTAGAAATCAATTAAAAGGTTATATGCGCCAGAGCTTCCGGGGCTTCGCCCCCTGGTCGCCAACCATTGCTTGGGCCTACGGCCCATGGCTTTATTTTTCATTTCGTCCCCCCCCCAACTTTCAGCCACGGATCGACGCCCTTGACGCTATCTTGTGTTAAGATCTTTGAATTGGCACCAAGATGGCAGATAGAGGGCGGCCAGTAGTAACGTGACCTGCACCGCTCATGTCGCAACTCTCTCTATATAGGAACTCTCCATAGGAGAGTTAGCCAAAATACGTCAACTTGACGGCGCTATTCCTTTTCAATATAGGAGAGTACACCATCCAAAATACGTCAATTTGAGAGCGCTATTCCTACTTTCCGGTTATGCCAACTTTGTATCCAAAATACGTTAACTTGAGGGCGCTATGCATCTTCCAATATAGGGAGTGAGTATATCCATATTTTTATACCTCCATGGTATATTTGAAATGCGTCATCTTGAGGGTGCAAGCATTTCCAATAAAAGACTAGGTGAATACTGCAATTGTATTAAGCAATATAATTGTTGTATTGTATTGTTGTAATTTATGAGAGTGCAATTTCCAGGCACCTAGAGGCAGGCACGGGTCATTATTATTATTATTATTATTATTATTATTATTATTATTATTATTATTATTATTATTATTATTATTATTAAACCAAAGACAAAATAGACAAAATAAAATGTTTGCATTGTCTAAGTATTAATCAAAGAGGGACTGTAATTAATTCTGCTGCGCGATAACGTATCCCGGTACACTGTTGAATTCTTTTATTATAACGAATGCTCTTCGTTAAAAAATAAAAAAAGTCTTTAATGGAGTTGGTAGCCTAATTGTAGACCAGCTTAAAACTTACGAACACACTTAGATACAATATATCTAAAAAGAAAGTCCAACTGTTATTAAAGTCAAAGATGACCACTGAGAGGCTGAAAGTGAACACAGAATCTGACGAAGAGCAACGACGTGAATGGTATGTAAATTTCAAATCATACAGCGTTGGAAATGGACAAATAATAATTAAAAAAATACTGAGGAATTGAGAAGATATCTAATAAGCCTTTAATACTGTATTAATTGGCCGGTAAAATGTAAAGTTTCCAGGCCCGTACATATAGTAGGTGGGGTGTTACGAAGAATGTGTATAACGCACCCAACCAAATTTGATAAGGTCCACATTTCCAAGACAATCGAGAATGTACTAAATATAAATTTGTGATTTTCTGTGATTTAAAAATAAAATCTTAATTTTTTTACATTTTAGCCAGTAGGTCTAATCTACTCAGTCTGTCGTGATTCGGAAAAACGCAATTTATATTCAATTTTGAAATTTTGGCTTAGGGGCACCTTGTGGATGTAATAAATCATGGAACGTGATCATATACTCCTAACAATTTTTTGAAATATGAAATTATTATGAGAGTTACGCATTATATCCGACCGTCCAATCCGGTAATCAACCAATCACAGAAGACATTTATGCATATTTATTATTTATGCATCCCAGCTGGTGGCGGTACAATAAAAATGAATTATTATTTTTCCTGAAGTTACAACTTAAAAAAGTTGTGGTCATAAGATTAATTTTAGAACCGAATTATTAACAAGATTATTAGGTTAATTCTTCCACGGAAAACGTATTTTTTTTATTTTTTTTTTTTAAATTGGATTTAACATATGTATAATGATTTTGATAAACAATCATAATTCTCTGTATTATCTATTAAACATTTAAAAAATGAACTTCCTTATATTGTGGTCATATTAGTCTGTAATATTTTTTAAGAAGACTATTCAACAAACAACATAAAACAAAATGTCTACGTCGGTGCATGCATAAAACGTACAAATTCCTGAAATTTGGATTTAAAACAAACTTCCTTATGATTTAGGCCTAAGGAAATGTAAATGTATATGGGTCTGAACTTTTTAGGTGACAAAGTGTTCTTTCTTATGTTGTGGTCATATTAGAATATAATATCATTAAAGACCATTCAACAAACAACATGAAACATATATCAAACTTTTAGGTTAAGCTTTCCGCTTCTGAGCATGCATATAACGTAAGTTTTTAGATGTATTATTTTCATGACATTGAGAATGTACTGATTATATAGATTGTAGATAGTTACTGTTGTCCGATTGCATTGAAAATGTGACGAAGAACTCAAGATACGGGCCTCGGTTGACACTCATATCCAAAGTCCTGTTAATTAACCTTGACCAGGAGCCTGTCCTCACCTGCTACGATGCCTCCTCCTCCTTATCATCACATCACATCATCATCATCATCATCATCATCATATCATCATCGCAATATTAATTGTCCATGGTAAAATGGGGGAGAACTATTAATTCAGTATGTATTCATCCATCAATAGAAGTCTCGTAATGCACGTAAGTGCATTTTTCCAGCAGCTAGAAAACTTTCTGAAGCTAAGAGAACCCCAAGACTATCGCAAAGCACCCCCCGCCCCATGTCTAAAATAGTGTTCCAGCGACGGAACAAGCAAACATTACGTTCTCTTCCCATGATCCCGCCAACTGAGGGACCCCATTATGTGCGATAGTCAGGGTAAAGCTCAGTTTCCATATAATCGCTCACCCTATCGGCGATAGTCGCCGACATTTGTCGGAAAGGTTGAACCTGATTCAAATTTTTCCAAATGCTTTGCAGACGCAGACGAATCAGGGTGCATTACTAGCTGCCCTGCGCAATCGGGAAGGCACCCCGATTCGTCTGTGAAACACAACTGTCACGACTGTCGCCGATAGGGTGAGCGATTCTATAGAAACCCAGCTAAAACTCTCGATCCGCGCCTGAGAGGTCCCTATTATCAAAATGTTCTATTCCCTTAGTCCCAACCATGGTGGGGGCAGTGAGGTGGACCCTCACGCACCCCCACCTACAAATCCTGCATCCACCCCAGGGCGTCATAGTCAAATAGTATGCTGAATGCAGAAAACAAGAGTATAAATTACCGGAGGCAGGACAACGTGTCTTCATTCCATGTTGAATTTGATGGACAAAAGCAATGTCCATCTTGGTCACAACCATAATCCTTTCTGCAATTGACTGGACATTTTAAAAAGTCAATCGCTGGCTTTAAACTTTTTTGACAGTATTTGCCAGACCAACCAGGAGTGCATTCACACTCCCCTGTTGTTGGGTCACACGTTGCATTATTATTACATAAGCACCTACGATGGCATCCATCTCCCCAAAAACCTGTACAGCGTGTTTCACAAAATTTTCCCAAGTAGCCAGGCGGACATTTGCATCTACTCTCCATGCCAACTTGGTTACACGTAGCTCTATTGCGACAACAGTCTGGGAACCAGCCACATTGTACATTATCGCCATCATGACAGATGTCTTCACAGAATGGTCCTCCATATGGCAGTGCACACTCGCATTCACCTGTTATATGATGACATTGACCATCATCTAAGTTGCAGCTCCTGCAATCAAGAGCGCAGTCTTTTCCATACCACCCCGAACTACATTTCTCATCACAAGTTGGTCCAGTCCAGCCGGGCGAGCAGTCGCATTGCCCTTTAACTGGATCACATGTACCACCATTACTGCAAGCCGGACATTCTAGGCTGCATCTTGGACCGTAGAAATTTACTGGACAGCGCTCACTGCAATAATCACCCATCCAACCGTCGGAGCAGTTGCAGGCTATACCGTAGTTGGTATTGAGACATGTTCCCCTATTCTGACAACATTGATCCAATTCGGGAGAGCAGACCCTGTGTGCTTTTTTAGTTTCTACGCAATCTATTTAAAATTACGAGAATTATGAATTAGTTTTAACTGTAGCAAACTTAGAAATAATAATACAGGTACTGGAAACAACTCAGGTCATAATACTAACCAATGTTATTAAAATCACACCAATGAAGTTATGAACATACAAACTCAATTATAATCTCTGATACAAATTAGTATAACTGTCATATTAATTAAGGTATTATAGGTCTTTTAAGTAAATAATAGAAATGATACAAAGATTTCTTAAAATATTTTTATGTTTTCTATTTAATTTATGGTTGTTTAAACGACTTACCATCTTCACAGCTTTTTCCGGTTTGGTAGAATCCAGGACGACAGTATAATTCAGTTTCCACTGTGGCAATGATAAAATGTTGGGATTCGTGTCTTGTTCCACTAACAAATACATACAAGACTTTATGTTGTAATTGTTCTTTTTATTTTTTTAAATATAATTCAGGCACAGGATATATTTAACTTCCTATTGTTTTGAAGTTGTTTTAATAGATAATGCTTACCATAATTGGCGATATTGTCGTAACAAAGCTATTTTGGACAACAGAAAATAACGACAACAACAACAGAAGCAGTAGCGATATCAGCAGCACCAGCAACACGAACAACAAGGTTAGCCAATTTCCGTTTAAACACTTGGCATCAAGCAAAATAATCAACAGAGGAGCATTTGCAATAATAATAATAATAATAATAATAATAATAATAATAATAATAATAATAATAATAATAATAATAATATTAATAATAATAAAAAATAATATTAATAATAATAATAATAATATTAATAATAATAATAATAATATTTAGCACAAAAAGAATATAAAAGGTATGACTGGGTTATAAAGAAAATACATTGGGAAGTTTGTAGAGAGAAAAGTTTTGTTGTCAATCAAAAAGGGTACGAACATGTACCTGTGCTAGAGAATGATGAATGTAAAGTAATAAGTGACTTTACGATACAGACTGATCATGTAATAAAGCAAGAAGACCAGATAATTGTAGTTGAAAAGTAAAGTAAACGCTGCCAAATCATAGATTTTGCAATACTGTACGATAGTCGCATCGAAGAGAAAGAAATGGAAAAAGTGATTAAGTATCGGAATTTAGCAAGAGAACTGAGGAAATTATGGAAAATTAAAACAGTGGTCATTCTTGTTGTAATTGGGACATTTGGAACAGTTCCAAACAAATTAAAAAAAGACTGCGGCAAATCAGTATAGAGACCAATAGATTAACATCAGAAGAGTGTGCGATACCAATAATAATAATAATAATAATAATAATAATAATAATAATAATAATAATAATAATATAATAATAATAATAATAACAATAATATTAATAATAATAATAATATAATAATATAATATAATAATAATAATAATTTAATAATAATAATATAACAATAACAATAATAGTAATAATATTATGCTAATGACATTTGCAATATTAGATAAAATTAATAATGTAGAAAAATATAAATTGAAATATCTATATAATATACCAGTACAAAAAATTCCTAAGACAGCCCTCCCAAAGTCTCTCATTCCTGTCTTAGATTATCATCAGTCCAATTTGTAATTAATTAACTATCCTTCATTGCATGTTTTCAATATGGCTGTCTCTTATACACATCTAGATGTGTATAAGAGACAGGTAGTGATAATAGTTATAGTAATATTAATAGTAGCACAAGCAACAAGGTTAGCCAATTTTCGTTTTGGAAATACTTGGCACCAAGCAAAAAAATCAACAGAGGAGAATTTGGAATAATAAATAATGATAATAATAATAATAATAATAATAATAATAATAATAATAATAATAATCATAATAATAATAGTTACAGTTGTAGTAATAGTATTAATATTAGTAATAGTAATAATAATAATAATAATAATAATAATAATAATAATAATAATAATAATAATTTACATTTATATATTACATATTTCGCAGTGCCTGTATATGCTTTACGTCAAATTATAAGTCAGTAAATGCCTATCTTTACTAGACGGATATGGTAAAGACCGCTCTAGAGAAATGTGATATATCACACCCGCCAGTAATGTAAACAGTAAAGTAAATAACGTTAATTTACCTTTTCTCTGCACATTGCACACCTCTGCTGCAATAAGTATAAATGAAAGTATCAATGGACACCTCTTTAGTTATATCTTTCCATCTTGTCACACTAAGGAACCAAAAAGACATAAATTTGATTATTTTTATATTTGCAATCTACCTTATTGAGTAAGGACAGATTGTTACGATGTTACAAAGGGCGGATGAGCTCCTCGGAGCCAACGGCCAACCATTAATTAGTTTAAGGAATGGGAGTAGTTTAGTCTCATTGTTATTGTTATTATGATTATTTTTATTTTATTTTATTGTTACTATTTTATTGTTATTTGCTTTTTCTCAGTTGGCCTATATTATTTCTCTGTAAAGCGCATAGGGGCAATGTGCAATATGCGCTATATAAATACAACATTATTATTATTATTATTATTATTATTATTATTATTATTATTATTATTATTATTATTTACCGTCTAGACGCCTGCACAAATCTGGCAGAAATATATCATAGCACCAAACTATATAGAAAAATACAAGTTGTTCAGTTTCGAAGAGTCTTGAAAAATCTTTTCTACAGACACGGTTGGAAAAACATGTTTACAATTTAGGAATTTGGATATTTTCTTAGCCTCAATTGATAGATCCGTGTAATTCAGTAAAGGGTACTGGTATATTTTGGTGTTGTTAACATGAAAAGAACATTACAATTATAATCATTAAACAATTAAACATTTTTATTTTTATCTTAAAACACTGCAATAAACATACATACATTAATAATTTAATGAATACAAATTTGTTTACATACTTTCGAGAAAAGACATTCACCGCTCCCAATTCAAGTCCACTGTTGGAATCAGCCTGACTAAAATAAATTAGTACTACGGCTACTGATGTAAGAAACAGTTTACGCATTTTCTACATGTACTTGGTCTAAGCCATCCGAATTGTCCGACATCATCGCATCCTTTGATTTCATGTATACGTGAGCAACATAAAAAACGTTGTTTTTAGTTTTGATTTTTTTTAGATTGTTTCCTTATTGTGTTTTCGCTTAATAGCCTTTTGCTATTGAGTGCAGAACTGAAGTGTTAGGTACGGTAGCTTTTGTTTGCGTGACGAAGTGAAACGTGACTGTCCTGGTTCTCTGATTCATTCCAAACAGCATCCTAGAAATCAGACGATAAAGACGTTTCGCATGCGCAGATAACGTTATGTATCCAAGTACGTTCTAGCTGTAACCATCTTCGTTTAATGGAAAGCTCTTTATTATTTACTACACTTTAAACTATATTTTTAGAAGTTGAGTGGTTTTGACACAATTTCAAATTCAGTAACCTTATATTTAGGGCATTTTAATTATCGAGATACATTTTCTGAGGCTAATTATTAGCATGTTTTTTTATTTGGAAATTACTGAAAATTACAAAAAAAAAAAAAAAAAAAAAAAAAACACACATTAGATTTGCGTAAAGTTGACTAATCTACTTATACAAAAGCATCCTCTTGAAATTATGATTGTTGTTTGACCATTGTTTACTAAAGATTCTACTATATTAGGAAAATTACATTAGGTTAAATACTTGATAGTATATTATTGATTGATTATTACCCAAAATATGTAAGGTACAATCAATCAATCAATCAATCAATCAATCAACCAATCACAATACAACAATCTTTCAAGCAATCGTCCCATTTAGGCCTTTTATACGGTAGGTTACAACAGATTTCAACAAAAGCCAACAATACAAATATGCAATTTACAACGAAATCCAAAATGAAAATCAATCCATCAATCAATCAGCATTTATATTGTCCCATTTTAACAAGCATTGCTGGTGGAGCTCTTCAAAATGTATAATAATTTACAACTATGTAATATTACAACCTTTTTATTACTTTTCATGTATTTCAACATATAACATTTTTCATACGAAATGATGTTCACCTGAATAATGTAATAATGGATGTTAACGGAAGTTGTTGAGGATGTTATCCTTCTTCCATTGGAAATGATTTTACAAATAACTGAAGTGCAATATTTTTTATTTCAACTCATTTACACCTTTCATCTATTAACTGAATACGTTTATACAATGTCTATTAATGTTTTATTGTCCTCGATATATCATCTTTAATATTTGTACTGTATACTGCAGTGATTTTTTAAATATGATTTGCCAATAACGAAGTCATTTCTTGTACCGTAATGTGCTTTCACAACAATGAAAATTATTATTATGTACACTACTTGCATAACTAAATTTAAAACAAAATAAGGTTTTAAGTTCAACTCAACAAGGCAAAGCTATTTTGAAAATCGAACCGATAGTCAAATGGCTATTTTACTGACAAAAAAATTATTCCAAGTGCCAACCATAAATATAAGTCGATCCACAATCATCAAATTTTTACATACGCACAACAGTAGGCCTACATTTACATCTTAATTTCATCTTGGCAGTCAGTGCAGTCAATCAAGTACGAGTATTTTACAGTTTAAATACTTGTCGATCAAACTACAGAAATTGTTTGAATAAAAAGTCAAAGATACGGTAGGTTACAACATACTTCAACAGAAGCCAACAATACAAACAATTAATCAACAAGGAAATCCAAACCAAGTCTAGGGTGTGTTCTTTGTTGTTGTGCTTAGTATTATGTGTTGTAGATTAACAAAAAACAACCAGTAGAAGAGGACCATTTTGTTCATTACAAAACCGAAACCATCAAGCCTATACAAGTTTATTGCAAAATCGAGGGTTGTGTTACAATCTCATTTCTAATGTTATAAAAACAGACTTTCTCTTTTCTTACGTTCCTGGATTTCTTCAGAATCTCAATAGATACTTCGAATCTAGTAACTAAATTCCCTATTTAATGTTAATTTGGATATATTTTGGCCTCTGGCGTACCGTAATTGAAATTAATTCTGGCCCTTTTTATTTAAGCCTACTTGGAAGTGTCAGCACTCTTAAGGTCGCAAGTACGAATAATAATGCTTTGGTTTAGAAAAAAAGAATTACTTGCTACCCAGACGGCTGCCAGCTTATATTTCTCTTCTAAAGTTTCCCTCCTTTAATAAAAATATAAATACGGCATGCATTTTATTCTATCTAATTCCCTGGTTATTAAGTAATTGTTTAAAGGGCCAAACTATATTTAGAATTGAGCTCACGGGCCAAAGATAATTATCTGAGTCATGAAGCATATCGTTATATATAGGCCTACATATACAGTATTCAGTCGTTTTTGACACAAGATAAAGAAACGGTAAGTTATTATAATTTTAATACTGATAGTTATATCATGGACCTTATTAATAGGTCCATGGTTATAACATGGGAGTTCTAACTTCTTTCTCAGTGGTTAAACAAGTTAAATAGTAGGCCCTATTAATTAATTGCAAATAGGCCTGTTATGCTACCAACGACCGGATTTTGAAATAAAAATACGCGTAATAATCGTATAAGAGAATCAATAATGGGAACTGAGCGCAAAAGTACTGTAGAAGAACAGACGTGGTAATAATAAAATCATCAAGTGCTTCCTTTTGCCGCTCCTTGCCCGAGTATTAGCTGACACCCGGCCAGCTGCTAGCAAGGCCTTCTACCACCCGGCCTTTTGCTACCCGGCCCGCTGCCAGCAAGGCCTTTTACCACCCGGCCCTTTGCCACCCGGCTCGCTGCCACCATAGGCCCGTTGCAACCCAGGCCCGTTGCCACCCAGGTCCGTTGCCACCCGGCCTTTTGCCACGTTTGGGAATGTCGAATATTTATATTATTTTGGTGGGTTTATTTACACAGATTTTTACTAGTAGGCCTACAGTAGCAGAATTTTTTCTTGATTAAATTTACTTTCCAGTTTAATATTTAATTATTTTACTCTATTTTATAAACAATCGTCCATGCGCCTTCTTACCACCTGGAAAAATTGCAGAAATAAACATTGTTTTAAATCCGCATAAAGAGAGAAATACTGCAGTGTCTAGTTAGATGTGTATAAGAGACAGGCATAAGCCAAAAGAACAAGATGTTAACAAGAGATTTCCTGTTTCCTTCCTTTCCTTTACGAATTATGTAAACCCGGATGAAAACATTTTTTAAAATAACGTTTTTACAATGTGTCTTTAGTTAATATAGAGCTATATAGGAAAACAAAGTAATATGTTCTGCCTTATACAGTATAATGAACATAAACTGATGAAAAAATTCAGTGAGAGAACTAGGAGGAACAATAGATCGGAAAAATAATGGGGGAAGATAGCCTGGGGGAAATAGCAGGGGGAAATTAGCCGGAGGAAAAAAATCCACGACTGGGGAAAAAAATCCTTGGGAAAATTATCATTGGGAAAATTAGCAGGTGGCAAGTAGTCATAGTGCTATTTTCTGTAAAGTAAAACCTTAAACCACCTCGATTTTGAGTCTACTCAATTTGAAAGCCTTCCCGTCATAGCTAGAGCTTACAATACTAATCTTGGGCGTTTGTTGATAGTCGTTAATTAATTTTTTTAGATCTCAGTGGGTTGCCCTACTCAAAGACTCGGTGCTTTACACAAGCTTGCGTACAAACCTAAAGCCGGTTTTTCAATAGGCGAATTTATTCACGCAAATCGCAAATTTGTACCTATACGTCTGCGCATTTGAGAATCTCGTGATGAAAACTTAACTGCGCATGCGTATAGGCTAACATTTTCGATTCGCGCGAATAAATTCGCCTAGTGGAAAACCAGCTTTACGTGCAAATTTTAATCTTCTATGCATTAAGAACAGGGTTTACACGCGTGATCGTTCCTTTTTTTTTCTCCACTTATCATGAGAAAATTATTTATCAAACGATTTGCTTTAATTTTATTATTTGTTTTTAATTTCATTAATTTTACACGGGCCAGATTTATTGGCTCCGCTGGCCGCCTATTAACAGTCAGGGATCTAATTCTCACTTTCTATAATAAAACAAAATCAAAAGCCAAACTAAGTATAAGCAAACAGGAATCATTGTATGCAATTTTGTTTCCAAAAATACAATTACTATAAATAGCTTACGTTTACATTGCTTTAAGTTAACGTGCATAACTCAACACAATTCTGTCCTGTCAATCAAACTTCAGTTACAATGCTACTTTCTATGTAAGTACACTTAAATATACTTACATGACCTTACTGACTCTTGGTTCAACCATTCAACTGAGCAATTTAACATATTTTATGGAAAGTTTGAAATGCTCTTTAGTAAGCTTATGTATAGACTTGCTTTATACCAAAATTGTTCAAAACTGTGTAATGCATTTATCTAGCCACTCGGAATATTAATATTCATTGCGTAGACTTGGCGTATAACGACGCCCTCTAGCTATTTCCCCAACTTCTGATCTGATTTTAAATGTTTGAGTTGAAAATTGTTCGTTCTTTGTTTATCATTGCCCTGCATGCTGTTTGTTGAGGTTTTTCAATCAGCCTTTTACTACACTTAGTGTTTCAGGGAGGCATGCATTTGTTGGTGATTCGTTTGCTATTCTTTGTTCACAAATGATAACTTGGTATTTGCATGCATCCATGATGAATGTATTGTAATGTCATTGCACATGGAACATGAGACGCGGATATTATATGGGGTTGCCACCCGGCCCGTAGCTACCCGGCCTTTTGCCACCCGGCCCGTTGCCACCCTGCCTTTTGCCACCCTAGGCCCGTTGCCACCCGGCCTTTTGCTACCCTAGTCCCGTTGCCAGCAAGGCCTTTTACCACCCGGCCAGCTGCTAGCAAGGCCTTCTACCACCCGGCCTTTTGCTACCCGGCCCGCTGCCAGCAAGGCCTTTTACCACCCGGCCCTTTGCCACCCGGCTCGCTGCCATCATAGGCCCGTTGCAACCCAGGCCCGTTGCCACCCAGGTCCGTTGCCACCCGGCCTTTTGCCACGTTTGGGAATGTCGAATATTTATATTATTTTGGTGGGTTTATTTACACAGATTTTTAC